AAAAATAAATCAAAATATGTCAAGAAATATTTCCAAGTAATTTAACTGATGTTTTTGATAAATCAGTGAAATGTTTTGCCTTCATAGACTACTTTATTAAAAACATATAAAGTAACTCATCCATGATGTTCTATTTGTTGAAGTAATATGTTGAATTAATATCCAATTATAAGCAGAAATATTAAGAACATGTTAAATATCCATGTTTGGACTGATTAAACCAAAGCAGTAACCAATCTAATAGCTCTCTTTTACTACAAGAGGAAATTGTACTAACCCACAATCGGCTCTGGGTGGGTGAGGGTAATAGATAGCTGGGAGGTTACACAGGATTTACAGACAATTCACTGAATTTTTCCTAGTATGTAAAAGGCATTTTGCTAAAAAAAAAAGCTATAAATGGCCTTCAAATATTGGGAGATGAAACACTGTTTACAAATTACCCTGGCTGAATTTACATTGACCTTTACATGTACTCTGTGTTTATCCATTATAATTACAATGCAACCATCAAAGTAAAATCAGACACCTTGTCATTTTTCATAATTTGTGATGGTTCCCTTGAGCTTTTACCTGCGAGATTACCCATGCCAAATATCAGATGTAGGGCAACCAGCCTAGATATCACTTTCATCTTCTCTTGGGAAGTGTGACTATTCAGTACTTCAAGCATTTTCTTCCCACATGTGCTAAAACCTTTAAATATGAAAAAAACAAAAAAAAAACAAATCATCATCCCACGATGGTAATTAAATCAATCTAATTTCATAGTGATTTGATAAATTCAAAATGAAATTTTATATAATTATTAGCCATATATAGCAACTACTACTGTTAAGATATCTTTTAAAAACATGATCATACATGTACATCTAAAGAGGCATGTTTCCAAAAACACATTATGCTTTATTTAAATACAAAAGTACTTGTTTGAAGTAAAAATCAATTCAGTGTAAATGTATTTAATGTATTACATGTATTTAATGTATTACAACAGAGATTTACCTTTGAAACAATCATATTCAGTTTTCATATGATTCTTAATATATTCTCTTTTGCACCCTCCACATGGGTTAACATGGCAATTTGTACCTGTTGCTGGGCACATCGTCATTGTGCATGTCAAGAAGTTACAACGGTGTGTGTTTTGGTCATTTGGACAGACTGAATATGAATGAAATACTTGATAAAGTTGTGGAATTGTGCTCTATTGACTCCATGCTTGATCAGAACAAAACTTTTCAGAACACCAAATCTTTTGAAAAAAAAAAATAATAAAGATCTAGAAACATTTGCATTTGAATCTATACTGAAGTATCATAAAATTTAGAACAAACAGATGAAATTTTGTGATATATAATTTTTTAAAATTTTACAAGTCTTGTTTGACTACCATATAAAACAGTGTTACAGTTTTCCTTAAAAATATAACTACAAGTAAGTACGTAGCAAGCACTTTGCAATATGCTTCTGCCCATTAATCTAACAAGACATATCTAACCTGTGAAGAATGAGTTTATATACATGTAGTTAAGGTAAAAAACCTGTCAGATTTCCCACTCATTACCTGGATCAACTGGTTCTGGTTTTGCTATAATAAACAAATTAAATGAAAAATAAACATGAATATTCTTATCACCTTATAATGTGATTACTAGAATGCAGTTACGCGTGACAAGCAGTTATGCTAACACTGCTGGTTAAAACAATGTCAGAGTTATGTTAAAAATTACCATTACTTTAAACCTAATCTGCATTCTTCTACAGTTTGACAATAAACTCATAGAAAAACAATAAGTGATGCTTTGTGGGAGATGGTATTCATATGGATAAAGAATTAATATGCACAAGTGATATGTTGAGGTTATATTGCTCAATGAAACACCTTAGAAGTGTAGCCTAAATTGTCTGGGCCCTGTACTTACATGTATGTATACATTATGAATATGAATAATTTTTCCTGTTTGAAAAGTTACAAATATTACTAATACCTGAGCAGGATGTGCCACGTTTCTGTGATCCAGCTATAGGTGTCCCCTGGGGTGTGGCACACCAGCAGATCCCCAGGGAGTCCACACACTGTCGACGGTACCACTTGTCATGACCACGACAACTGGGGTAGACAATGAAGAAAAAAATTTGTTGCATATTGTTTAAGATCAAACTGCCCTTTTTACCCAGATTTACTGTAAACTAAAATGGCAAATATTTTTCCACAGAAAAATAAGCTTTAACAAAATTTTGGCCCATTTGACATTGAAATATAGGTCAAAGGTTAAAACTAATGTTATATAATAAATATCCACATGACTTTTGGTCAGACTTCTATAGTAACTTTTCCCGTTACTCCTTAGTTTAGTAGATATTTAGCATTTAATTTTCAAAATATATTTAAAATACAAAAAAGCATAACTTTTGGAAAAATGGTCCTATCAAGCTGATTTTCCAACTTTGACCTGTATTTAAGTAACATTGATTACTCATGTAAGTTTCAAAACAATAAGCCTGTCAGTGTTCTTTGTACTGTGTCATCTGTATCACATATGAAAAAAAAACAAAAACAAAAACAAAAAAAAAAACGGTGTAGCTTTGGGGAAAATGGTCCAATCAAACAGATTATCAAACTTAACGGCCTGTACTTTATGAAAGTTTGTCAGTTCTATAAATTTGAAGAAGAAAGGTAAAACTGTTTACCACAATGTGTCTGCA